GGAAAAGAACAAATCCTATTTTACCTGACAATTGAACAGCCTGAAAAGGAATAGGCAGTGGCCATTTTCATGGATTAGGGATGTGGTGGCGCTGCAATGTCGGAAGACCAGCCATCATAAGATCGAATCCACGTGATGGAGGGACAGTGTCATCGAAGCGACCAACATGAATTTGACCAAACTCCGGGAGGCAGTGGAAGACAGGAGGGCCTGGCGTGCCCTCATCCATGGGGTCACGAAGAGTCAGGCACGACTTAACGACTAAACAACAACAAATCTACTTAGAAAATCCTGTAAAAAGTCACCATAAGTTAGAATTGACTTGAAGACACTCCTTTTTATTGGTCAAATGCTTGCTTTGTTACTCATGTTAATGGTTTGTAGGCACATTATTCAAAATACTTCTCCTTTTTTAAGATTTATAATTGTTTCTCTACATATTGTTAGCTTATTAAATGAAAAATATGTCTGGGTGATGACCTGGGGTTTAAAAATAACAGACACACACACCTGCAGCTTGTAGGGTACAAGGGAAAATTAAGAAAAAATTGGTTGGCGTAGTGGATTGGAATTATAGATCTGCCTCTTTTTATGCTGGCAGTTGGGACTCTGGAGGCTTAGCAAAACTCACATTCCTCTTGCATCTCAGCTGGAGCCCTTTTTTTCCTCCCAGAATTCCCTTGCCATGTCATAGTATTCTTACAGAGGAACTCTGGGAGAAATAATAGGGTGCCTGCCGGTCGCAGAGCAAGAGAAACACAAGTGATTCCCCTTCTGAATGAAAAATTCATCCATATCACAGAAAATATCCCATAATTTTTGCAGCCTGCAAATCGGACTTTGCAAATGCTGGGAATTAATGGTTAAGCCTCTTCCCCTGGTCCTTTTGTTTTCGCACACAAAGAAAATGCTGTATATTTGATTAGTCTTTATTTTGTCTGCCACACCATCTAGTTGGGTTACTCTTTGATTTTCTTCATGCCATTTTAACTAAGTCCTGCTTGTGGTTAAAACTATCCAGCTATTTTTTTCACTCCCAGCTTAGGCATCTCATAAAAAGCATGAAATCGATTCATAGCAAAGTGGGAGGAATATACCAAAAATCACTGGATGGAGATAAAATATAAGCCAAAAAAAAATCTGAACTAGAGCTGTTTGCCTACCCAGAGGCAAAGTTTGGGAATCTTCCCTTTTGCAGATAGTCCTTCTGAATATGCAAGGCTACCGTAGAAGAAGGAGGCACTGAAATTCAAGGGATCATTTTTGTGCGTTCCTAAGTAGAAATTTAAAATCTTATAGACCTGACCAAGTGAACACTTGGAAACCAAGTAGTACTTTCCTGTTCATGTTTTTGTGAGAGTTCATGTCTGCTTTGAGAGGAACTGGTGCTGCAACTTTATCAAGACTTCGCTTTTTATTGAACTCTTCACTCTGTGCATTGGAGTCTAAATATAGATGTTAACTCCCATACCTACAGGCATGGAATTTCTCCATCATTTATTAAAGAGAAAACCTGTGCAGACAGTAAAAGAGCTTTATATAGAGCTAAAAACTAAATATGCTATAGCTGGGTCATCAGTGGTAGAGGGATAGGGAGCGGACAATGAGGTGTTTTGGCATATTTACAAGGATGAACCTCCGGAAATGAGAAACTTTTGATGAAGTATAGAGACTGCGTTTTGAGACTTTCACACCAAAAAAGCGCTATTTGTACTAGCTAAAAAGGAGATGGGTATAATCCAGTCTCCTGCCCAGTCAGGAGTTTCCACATTAAGCAAGTGTCCATTGTCTACCTTCTCCTTAAAGACTTCAAGTAAAGAGTTCCCATTGCAGAACTGCTACGTATTTCAACTAAGATGTTTATACAAATGTGTGGGAAAAACATCTATTCTCCTACAACATAAAGCCCATTGAATCTAGTCCTGCTTTCTTGGGAAACAGAGATAAGATCTTTTCTCTTTTTAAGATAATATTCTTTTAAATATTGGCAGAGTCCTACCATGCCCTCCCTCCTTGATTTCACCTTCCCCAGTCAAAACCTGCCTTGTTATTTTTATGTATTAAATTTTATCCTATGCCAAAAGCAAAGGGTTTCGGAAACATTCAGCAGTCAGAAAATAAGTATTTCTAACCGAGAGAAGTTGTGGGGGTCAGCTGCCACCAAAGGTCATTGGAACCATGCTGTTTAGAACAAGGCCAGATTTATTATTTTTGTCTATTTATTTACTTTGGCAGTTCTGAAGGGCAAAGGTCACCAGTTATGGGCTAATGAATAAAAACAACTAGTCCTTATTATGCGGCGGCAACTCATTCTGGGAAGCGTGCCAAAATAAACAGCAAATATTAACTCAGGAACCTGCAGCCACACTGAGATATATAGGAGCAGAAAAGAACAAGACATACACGGGGAAGCCGCCTGGTTAATGGCCATACAGAACTGCAGTACAGCCATCTGCGAACGTTTGGTGACCACACGCACTGGAAGCCAAGTGGCAAGAGAGCTACATTCAGTCACTGAAGGAACTGGGCATGTTGAACTTGGAAGACAGAAGATCTGTTGGGAATGTGACAAGCACGCATCAAAAATCTGCAAAGAAAATGTTGTCCTCTGCTCCCGGAAATGGCAGGACTAGTTCTAATGGGCAGAATGTGGTTTGTTTGTAACACACACACTGTTCTTTGTGTGATTGCTCTTTCTCCACCCGTGCTTGCACAAGCAGCAGCCACTTGCACAAAGCAGAAGTAGAGTTGTACGGAACTAGAGTTGTACGGAAGTACATCATTCTCCATTCACCCCTATGCCTGAGGAGTGTGGCATGTTTTATCAACAGGATTCTGCATGACGGCTTTAAGATGCAGGAGATGAATTTGGGTTGACCATTTGGAGAGACGTCTTGAGGGGAATAGCAATTAGACAATGAAATATGAAGTTAGGTTGTTGCGGGAGGGGGGGGGGCTGAAACAGCCTCTCAGACTGCTACTGATATTACAGTAGAACCCCTATATCCACAGGATCCATATTGGCTGATTCACTTATCCATGGTCTGAAAATACTAAAAATACATTTTTTAAAAAAAAAAAATCCTAGAAATATATTATTTCTAAATATGAAGTTACCACAACTGGCCACTGAAGGCAGCCAGAGACCATGCTATGTATAGAGTTTTTGCTATCCATGTTTACCAGCATTTGCGGCGGAGCAGGGGCTTTCTGTGGATTTGTTGTTGTTTAGTCGTTAAGTCGTGTCCAACTCCTTGTGACCCTTGTGACCCCCATGGACCAGAGCACGCCAGGCCCTCCTGTCTTCCACTGCCTCCCGGAGTTGGGTCAAATTCATGTTGGTCGCTTCGATGACACTGTCCAACCATCTCATCCTCTGTCGTCCCCTTCTCCTCTTGCCCTCGCACTTTCCCAACATTAGGGGCTTTTCCAGGGAGTCTTCTCTTCTCATGAGATGACCAAAGGATTGGAGCCTCAGCTTCAGGATCTGTCCTTCCAGTGAGCACTCAGGGTTGATTTCCTTTAGAATGGATAGGTTTGTTCTCTTTGCGGTCCAGGGGACTCTCAAGAGACTCCTCCAGCACCACAGGGGCCTGGAGGAGACCCCTGTGGCTTGGCATGGAGAATGATGTACACATCTCTGTGCATACAGGGGTCCTATTATACAGTCCTCTCACTCCTGCCATTTTACCCCTATCAATCTGTACATTCAAGGATACCAAAATACCTTTGTTGTTGCTAGTACAGCTATTAGAAAGGAACAATGAAGGTTGCAATCTAAGGACATGGGTGGGGTTTCGCCTACTCTGAAGCAAAATTCACTATGTGCTCAGTTGTTTTACTTTCCTGCCCACTCACCTTTAAGAATGACTTAAAACAATTTATGCCAATCCATATCAAGATGTGCAGTATCCAAGTTTCTTTTGGTATCAGAGACAGAAAATCCCACAGGTGCCTCTCTCTAGAAATGGCAATACAACAACAATCAATTTTCAGCAGGACCCTTCCCCACCCCCCACCCCCACCCCATACAAGCAGATTTATTATACATGGTTTCCGTTATCCACAGTCTGAAAATATTAAAAAATATTAAATTAAAAAAAATCAGAGATGGATTTCCTCGATGTAATTACCAGAATTGGCCAACAGAGGGAACCAGAGACAATACTGTTTGCTGTTATCCGTGGTTTTCAGGCATCCACAGTGGGGCTTAGAACTGATCCCTTGCAGATACCACGGCCCTACTGTAACTCAAAATATGCTATCTTTTCATGAGCCAACCATTCAGCTGCCTAGGATTATCGCTTTGCTGTGCTATGTGTTTTTGTTTTTTTTTTTTAATTATGTGCCATATTGGAAAGATCTTTTGAACTGTTATTGCTCAAAATGGTAGTTGTTATTAGTTACCTCGAATTGAAAAACAAAAATCAGGGGATGAATGTTTCAAAATAAATACAATTGCCCAGTTCCAAATGTTAGTCCCAGTTTGTCTCGACCCATTGGAGCAACAGTAAGTGTTGACTTAACAAATTTGATTCGTTCAATGGGTTTGCTCTGGACGGGGCTGAGCAATGTATCTAACCCTGATTTAAGTGATTGTTCTAGGCAACACTAGCTTGGGTTTAGTAGTCTTAACAGGCAAATTGTTTTGTCCCAGATTCTGGCTATATGGACTTGACACATTTCTGTTCAATTTTGTTTAATGTTTGATCAGTCTTAATACACATTTGTTACTCACATTCAGAATGATGGGAAGTAGGACACCCATCGGAAAGTCGAAATGCTTAGATTATGGGGAGATCCATGTCTTAGTCCCTTTAATGACCTTGGATTAATAGTTCCTTCTCAGACTGACATACTTCACAGGGCCGTCATGAGAATAAAGTGGGCTCACTTGGTGTGAACAGCAAGCTATAAATGTACTGTAATGACTAAATAAGGAAAATTGGGTGAATGAAGACTGAATGCTTTTAAAATCTATTTATTTCTTTGTTTCCTAGAATACGCTCGATTTGAGGCCAAAATCCATGACCTGCGGGAACAGATGATGAACCACAGCATGAGTTCTGGGTCGGGCTCCCTGCGAACCAATCAGAAGCGTTCCCTTTATGTCAGGTAGGTCCACACAATGGCGTCATTTGTTGGTGAGAAATAATAGTATAGCAATGGCTTGGGACTGAGGTATAGAGTCTTCTAATGTTTCCCTCAGTGCAATTTTGCCATAGAAGAACTGGAAGTGTTGAGGGGGGAAAAATGGAATAGAGAATGTCCATTAAAAAGGAACATCATTTTTTGAGAAAATAAGTAACAGGGAGCTGTCCAGTTCAGCCTGTGTTGAATTAATTGTGCATCCAGCCTTCAGCAACAGAGGAGTAAAGATTAATATTCACATTATTGTCATGTTATACTCGAAGATGCACATGAAACTTTGCATCCACTTCTATTTTCTCCAGTGAGCTAAATGCAATCTGAGACAATCCCCATGTATATATCTCCAATAAATACTGTTGTTACGTTGTTACATGCCGTCAGGTCACCTCCTATGAATAAATAACCCCCAGAAGTATTCTCGAAGGCTTTCACGGCTGGGATCTGATGGCTGTTGTGGGTTTTTCGGGCTCTTTGGCCGTGTTCTGAAGGTTGTTCTTCCCGGCGTTTCGCCATTCTCTATAGCCGGCATCTTCAGAGGACTGGAGTAGGAACTGCTGCTGGGTGGCAGCAGGAGTGAAAGACAGAGTTCCTACTCCTGTCCTCTGAAGATGCCAGCCACAGAGACTGGCGAAACGTCAGGAAGAACAACCTTCAGAACACGGCCAAAGAGCCCGATTCGTTCAGTGCATTTGCTCTGGATGGGACTGAGCAATGTATCTAACCCTGATTTAAGTGATTGTTCTAGGCAACACTAGCTTGGGTTTAGTAGTCTTAACAGGCAAATTGTTTGTCCCAGATTCTGGTGTGTTTTTTTTAGCAAGTCTTGTCTTCACATCATGGGCTCAAAGTACAATAGCCTCAGTTTTGTCACTTTTGCATTCTCTTGGATGGACACCTTGTTGTAGTGAAGGGAGTTGAGTGTGTCAGAGAAGAGTAGTGTTGTCAGGAGGGCACACTCTGTTTTGAGTTTGAACTCCCAGCAGGGTTACCCAAGGCTGCACGATCAAAGCTGAGATGCCAGACTAAGATGCATTCACGCTTTTCAATAATTAATGGTTTAAGGAGCCGAAGGTACTTTACTGATGGGCACAATAGTAATCAGACAAAATAAAATCCCAAAGGGCAGCTACTGGGTGGCAGCAGGAGTGGAAGTTAACACTGTCAAAATACCATGGAAGTGACACTCAGGCGAACTCTTGTTAGTACTGTGCAGAAGAAGGCAATGATCAACCACTCCTGGACATTTTGTATTTGAAAACTGTGATGAAACAATCTCCGATGAATGCCATAGAAAAATCCTCCCATCTATGAGTGGGAGAATTACTAGCTTCAATGTCTTTTATAGTCATGTTCTGTATAAATGCCGGCTACTGCCAGTGGACCATTCTTTTGACTGAATTGTCCACAGTACGCACTGTAAATGCTTCAATTTTCCAGTCCATCTTAACTTGTGCTGTGTCTCCAGTTCAAGCATCCCAATGGTCACAAATGGGAAGGGTAGCAATTTGCACGTCCCTAGCGGTGATGATTGCTCACAGTGGAAATAATTCAGATGATGACCTTACATAGATCCAATTAAGTCCAGCCTCTTGAGAATATGTCAGCCTGAGAGAGAGAGGGAGAGGGAAATGAGGGCATCCTGCTGGGAGGAGAAACTGCAGCTCAATCTAAGACTTAATGATGCCATTTTAGTTTGTGGTGGATGAGAACCTCAGAGTCAGATGAATTAATTGACAACTTCCTTGGGAAAAATATCAGTGGCGCAGGGTGTTGATAACTGAATGATGGCTATTAAGGGCTGCAATGAAAGACCTCAGATAACTAGGTAGCAATGAGGGGCAGTGTTGCCTGGGGTTGCTATGAGGAAGAAAAGTCACTTTAACAGAACTTTCAAATTTTCCAGAACAATTTTATGTCTCAGTTTGCTTGTCCTCTTTTTTAATATGAAAGGATTAGCTTTGACACGAATGCATTCAGTCTAGCTTATTATTAAAGCATCTGCTTATTTCCAGGGTTGGGTTGCTTCTTGGTATAGATAAGGTCTCTGGGTGTGGGCCCTTTTGAGGCTGCCCATGTCTCTTCCTGGTGTCTTGCTAACAGAGATTATGGCTCTTGAATCTACGTATGTGCCCTAGGGACAGCTCAAAACATTTTGTCACCTGAGGAAGAGCACCCATTCATACAAAACAAGGTTGCATAGAACCCAAAAGTTGACATGTTCCTTTTGATGCATGTTCCATGATTACCACTATCCCACGTCTGGTCCTTGCAGAAGGAGACTGTCAGACTCCATCAGCTCTTCCAAGATCTGTCCCATCCCCATTTTGAAGATGCAGTACATCCACCTCGCTCAGGTGCAAAGGATGAGTACTGAGTGCTTTCAGCATTAAACACAGGTCATTTTAAGAAGAACATGGAGTTCTTATAAGGAAAAAAGGAAGGAAGTTGGTGTGCTTGCTTTACCAGCCCACTTGTGGCTTCAGATGGCCTCAGCTCCTTGAAAATGCAAACAATCTCAGCAGTACCTTTTATTTGTAATCAATACTGACCATCACAAGCCTGCTGAGGATTTTGCAACCCGTGTAGGAGTTCCTGCCATGAAAATGGAACAAGAAATCCTTTCTTCATTGTGCTAGCCATGTTTTCGGCAAAATGCAGCTGCATAAAACCAGTTCCTTTTCCCTTTATGAAACTAGACACGCCCTGTAAGCAAGAAGAAGAAGAGGCAAATTAATCAAAAAGATACATACAGACCATCAAATATGGTTACATTTGCTATTTCGTGCCAGTAGACAACACTTTACACATGAACAACTATGTGCATTTGACAGAAACACGCAGCAACAGCCTTAAAATATGCAGAATCTTTCCAAGACACACACAACCCCATCCTCCAGGCGACAAGAATTTTGTGTCTATGCTTTCATGTTTACCAAACAAGATTAGGTCAGTTCAGGCTCTCTACGTATTTACTACAAATGCAAACTTTTTCTGTAGCTCAGCCTATGGGAACTGTCCATGGTACTAGAACACACTCAAGCAGCCCTGCTGTTTAACTTAGCCTGATTAGATTTGATCTGATTTGGCCTGATTTAACCTCCCTGGAAAAGATAGTACTTGACTGTTCCCATTTCGCCTGTGAGCCTTAAGGGCCAGCGGAACAAGGACAGCTATTGGTAGGGAACGGACAAATCTGTCAATTTTGGTTTCTTTCAATTCATCATTTTCCAGTGTGATGTTTGGTTCATCCGAGAGATTGGACTTTTTCCCTAGTCTTACATTTGATTTGTTGATCAATATGGATTTTTTTTAAAAAAAATATTTACATTAAAGGATTTCATCCATGTATATTTTGTGCACATTTTCCCTAAAGCACACAAAATCGAAAGAAACTTAGGCAAGTGCATGTGCATTTGAAAGCACTTTTCCTTTAAGAAATCTATTCTTAGCATTACTTTCACTAACATCTATATGGTTTGTGCTTTTTTTTTCCATTTGAAAACTCAGTTTCAGAATTTGGAGACAGGCACATTTAAAACTCTGCCAGGAGGCAGTAGAAGACAGGAGGGCCTGGCGTGCTCTGGTCCATGGGGTCACGAAGAGTCGGACACGACTAAACGACTAAACACACACACATTTAAAACTATTACAAGCTCAGTTCATACCTTGGTACAAAGAGACACAATTAGGTAGACCTTTATTACGATGTAGGTTGAACTAATTTCTTTCCCGTCTCTGGCTTCAGATTTTTCTTGGATTAAGTGCAAAAACATTAAGATTGTAGCATACTGGGACTTCCTTATCTGTTCTGTCGGTCTCAAAAACACACTACATGCCTGAGCCTTCAAAAACTACATTGTCAAACTCTTCATGCACAGCAGATTTTCCACCTTACTACCATATGCCAGGTTTCTAGATGAAATAAATGGATGCAAATATGACTTTGTGGGTAAAATGAGGTGCTGTAAGCTTATGGCTGGACTGCTTTTCCAGAACAATGACTACTCTGCATGGAGCTATTAGCAGAACATGCACTTAGTGGCCTTCTTAAAATAGGCTTACTGTCATAATTGGGTTTAACAGCTGGTGGAAATATTCCCTCAAATGTAATCATCTGAATGCAGGTTTGGGGAAAGCAGTGAATTACGCTAGACAGGCTCAACGTTTCTTCGAAATTGCAGCAAACGACTGTAAATTAAATTGGGATCACAGCATCCTATACCTGACATGGTTTCTGAATGCAAAATGTTAACAGCTGGTTTTCCAGAACACCCACAGCTGCATTCCAGAGCTCTTGTAGACCTATTTAGTGCATAATATGGTTGGTTGCTCCATGTTCCTGGCTGTTATATCTTTTGTTTGTGTGTGCAGAGTGATTATGCTCTGGATCGTTTATGTTCCAGAAAGCAATTTTTTCCTTATCACTAGAGAGAGAAAGCAAAAATAGTGATGGGTCAAACTTCCTTGACCAGACCAACTTCAAATAAACATCCCCTTTCATAGGTCCTAGTGGGTTGCTTGTACTACCAGGAGATTGTTTAGATGACCATTGAAATATCTTTCTCTGACTTTCTGTTCCATCAGTCTGTCTGTCGAGATAGTGGCTTGTCCTGAATTCCATTGGGGTATCAAGAGTTCCATCCTCTATCACTGCCCTGAGCTCACCTATTGTATGTTTGGGATTGCTGAATAAGATCCTATTTCAAAAGGGTCAGGTTACATGAGATTCCCACCTGAAACATCTTGCCTGTCTTCTACAGTCTGAAAATCCCACAATAAAGCTAGAATTCTTTGCTTAAACACACAAGTATAAGCCCAGTTGAATTTCATTAATTTATTAGGATGGGATGTTCATATTTCCAGGACTTCCAGTCCCTGGATTCACCTAGAATTCCCCCAAGCAAAATTCTTGGGCTGGGACAGGCGTACCTAGAAGGCAAAAGAGAGCCTTCTCAACTTCAATT